TTCTCAAGCACCTCGGTGTAAATGCAGAGGGACCCCTCCAGCTTTGCTTGAGTGAGCTGGATGGTTTACTTCACTGTACAACCTGCATCGTACTGGTTAGTGCAGTGTTCAGGAATTGAGGAGCATCCCTTTAAATAGCTTGTGAAGCCTCTACTGGTGCTCGCTGCCTTCTATGCGTTGCTCTTCTGGGGGCTTCCCGTGTGAATGTGGGGCAAGGCCTGATATGTTGTGTATCGTCAGTAAACATGGGGATTTGGATGCTGCCGTGCCCATGGGGTTCCTCCCTGACACCTTTGCATCAAGAGCAAAAGACTTAGCTCGTTTCCTGCTAAGTCACTGAATCGGGGGAGAGAGACGGTAGCTGCGGACACATGTAACCAATAACCAGCCCGGTGCAGATGTGGAAACGGGGACTTTCCCGCTCCCTGTTCGCCCTGCAGAGCCAGCACGGCTCAGGGGAGAGGGAGCTGGGTTCTGGCCTGGCTCATGCATCTTCAGTGCAAGTGTTAGCAGTGTCCGGACTAGCAGGCACTGCCCAGCCCTGGCAGTGGATGGAGATGGGGTGGTGGGGGAATCTCGGGCCACACCTGGCACATTGGTGGGTGGGGAGCTGTGTGGAAGCCCTGCTGTACCCAAGCCAGGGATGGGGGGGGGCTCCCCTGGTTTATAGCATGGGAGGGGCGGCTGTGCTTCCCTTCCCCATCCCCTCTATTTAAAATGCCTGGTGACTGCATCCCCTCACGAGGTAAAGACCAATGGGGGCAGGAGTCCATGGGAGAAGTGGACTCTGAGGCTCTCCCATATGGGTATTGGGCGGGGGAGGGGGAGGACTCATTTTCACACACCCCTTCCCCCTGGAGGAAAAGGCCATGAAGCCAAACCTGGGAAATCTCAAGGGATCTGTGGAAGGCCAGTGCCCTCTATCTTGAGGCCCTGTGCCTCCATACTAGGCTTTGGTCCACAAGCACCCCCATCGCAACTCCTTAGCCACATGGCTCCCCTTGGGGGTTGGGGTTGGCTCTATGGAACAGATAAAACAGCCCTAGGCCTGGGGACGGTGTGTCCCCTGCAACCCCTTCCCCGCGACTCATCGTCTCTATCCTCCTCTCTCTGTGCAGACCTCTGAGCCATGCAGGGCCTTAGGGGTCTGCAGCGCATGAGGGGTAGGGATGAGGGGCAGTGCTGTGCAGGCAAATGAGCCCTCCCTTCCCCACTGGAGGGCCAACGTCAGCACCCAGTAAAACCATTCCCCCCCCCCCCTTCTGGTGTAGACTGAACAAATCTAATCTGGAGTTGCTGAGACCATAAACCTGGAACCCCAGAGTGCTATTTTTAATGGGCCGCTCTCCAGAACTGAGCTGCTCTTTAATTATGTCTCTTCAGGGGGACCAACTGTTAATGCTAAAATGATTCCACTTTGATGTTTCTTTTGCAGACTTTTTTTGGTGCTGGAATGTAATATTTCATTTTCTCCTATCTCCTCCCTCCTCTTGGGGCTGACTCTAGGCCTATAGATCTGTGAGCAGATATAATAATGGGAGTCAAATTCTGCAGTCCTCCCTTGAGCAAAGCTTGCAGCAACTCCATCTCCAAAGTCCAGGCCTCCACCCCTAGAGAACTGACCCAAATGCTCACGCCCTTTTGGGAACAACCAGTTCTTGCTGGAAGTTTCTTGCAGTCCAGATGCTCTGCTCAGTTGCAGGCAGATCGGTCCTGGCAGCTTTAGCCTCCAAAGCCTCACAAAGGAGTTAAAGGCTGAGGTGAAATTAGCTCGTAGCTAAGTCCAGTCCTTTTTGCTCTAGACATCCCCAATACCTGACGGTTTCAAGGTAGGTGAATGCTCTTCAGAATGCACCTGGCCAATTGTACCAGGAGATACATGGGGATGTTTGAAGCAGCGTTGCACATTGGCCATTTTTTGGTGGGGTTTTTCCTCCCGCCCTTGAAACTTTAGCTCCTGGAATCATTCTTACATGACCATCTTAGTTTACCTTTAAAAAAAACGTTTCTAGCCCTTGTGGGTTGTGGAGAAAAGCTCAAAAACATGAAGTCTAAAGGCTCAAAAGGCCAATAAAAACCTCAGACATATTCTATTTTAAACCCCATGGGGTTTGGAAGCCTGATGAATGATTTTTTCAATGCTGGGAAGAGGCAATGCTATAGGCTAGAATAGGCAATGCTCCTACAAAATCCCTGCAGTTCCAGTTGGTTCCCTGAAGTCTGAGATTGGATTGCCCCAGCCTCAGCTCTTGAATAGCTCCAGCTGTTGCTATGGCAGATAGACAGTTGCTCTGTAATCATTTTTTATGAATCCTGTGTGTGACAGAATCCTGGAAATGGACTGCCTAGCTAGATTGCATTTATGCATGTTACCCACCATCCATGTGTCACTGTATGACCCCCTCTTCTTGTATGGTTGGGCAGTGTAGAAGGGAGGCCATGATGAGTTACGTAGAGCCAGCTTTTCTGAAACACTCAGGCTGGCATCAGGTACCAGGGTGCGGGATGCAATGAAGAACTAGACTAGGCAGATCAGATTGAGGTGTGAGTCTCAGGGCTGGTGTACAGGAGCATTGCCCCACTGAAATCAACAGAGCTACATGGATTCATACCAGCTGAGGACCTGACTGTGTACATTCATCATGGATATACGGAGTGCCCCTTGGCTCCCCTCTTCGGATTTGTGCCAGATGTGTTGGTGGAATGCATCTAGAGCATAAAGGGGTGAATTTTTCTGGGATGGAGGAAGAGGGCTTTCTGGAACAGAGGTGCAGCAGCCATCGCTAGAAGAAATTTCAGAGGCTGCGTCCCTTTGCAAGACATGTCCACGCCTGTATGTGTGTTGTCTCTGCTTTACAAACCCTTATCCCCTCGAATGGGTTGTGCTTGGGATCTGATTAGGATCTGGTCCAACGGTTGTAAAGATAAGAATGACACTCCCAGCAATGACCTCTCTTAAATGGCACCAGCCAAAAAGAAAAACATTTAATAAAATCGTTAATTAAATTTTTTTTTCTAAACCTCAAACCCTGCCCCAAGCCAAGTTTTTTACCCTGCAAATGGAGAAGAGCCAGAGACTCCATGGAGTCTGCTAGGGACTTTGCTATTGCTATTGATTTATATGGGGAAGTCGCTTGGATACTATGGCGATAGGCAGCAGGATAAAACCCTCCCACAGACCAGTGAATCAGCCCTATGCCTGGTGCAGTCGCCCCCAGGAGACAGCCTTCTGTAGAGCATTACATAGCTGCCTCTTTTGGGATTAGTAACAATAGAAATCTAAATAAAATATAGCAGCGAGAATATTTCCACTGGGTGGAATTCACCCCTCTACACAAGGGCTGGCTCCAGGATTGAATTTCACCTCCCAGTGAGCAAAAGTCTCTGCTGATGCTCTCGCTTTCTGCGGAAGTTCTCGAGACTAGACCCTTGCTTGCCCCGGTGTTGGCGCACTGGCAAACACAAGGGAGGGCGTGAATCCCCACGGATCAGGGCGATCGAAATCTTTCACTCTATTCACCCAGCTCTGATTGAGGTCGGTCAGCCCGGAGGTTCTTTGGCAGAGTGTGTGTGTGAGAGCTCAGGATTGTACCACCAGGAATGCGGCAAGGCAGGCTGAATATATACCAATAATTCAGGCCATGCAATTTTGGGTGACTTTATTTAAAAAAAAAAAAAAAAGTACTTAGAGGATTTTTCTCTCCCTTGTTTATCCAGCTGTGATTAGAAGGGAGGAGATTGAGTAGATCCGCTGTGGAGCGGGGAAATGTTGCAGGATTGGAACTGCAGACCGAGCCGCAGGTCAGGGGTGTGAGTGCCGATGGGATCCTGGATGCACTCTGCTTGGCTCTTATCAGTCTCTCAGCTCCATGATTGAGGAATGTCCCCATTTGTTCTCCTGAAGGCAGCTCTGCCCCCCCTCCAGTCCCCAGGACCCTGGATCTCTGCTGGGGGAGATGGGTGACACGGTGGAGGAAGCTGTTTGCACACTTGCGTTGAGTTGCTCTAGGAAGGAGGGAACAGAAGGTTGTGCCCTAAGATTTGTGTTCAGCTGTGACTAACAACTTCTCCTGGAGGGGCTTTCTTCGCAGACAGATGTTTCTCTCTCTTTGAGGTCAGGGTTGTACCATACACCAATCCTGTTCCTTTTCTTCTGCTTCCTTGCTCTTCTTTAGAGCCTTTCAATAAGTAGCATCATCCCAAAGTGGGGCCTGAGGATCAGATTTACTCTGAGGTGTCTGTGACCACAGAAGCCCAGTCTGCAAGGACTACCACTCCCAGCATACAATGCTTCCTCTTGATCTGAGTAGCTTTGAGCAGGGGAGAAAACAGACTAGAGGAAAAGAGCTGGCTCTGGAGAGCTGGTGAGTGCCCAAAAGAATAGACTGAGGGCAAATGCCATCCCAATGGGTGGAAGGAGGGATGCATTGTCCCAGCTCAGCAGATTAGCTCCTGTAGCTGACATGGTGGCTGTTAGCAAACGGGGCCTGGCCCTGTAATTCCCCAGCCCAGCGAACTCCAGTTAACATTGGCGTAATGCATGCACGCTCAGGCCTGACAGCAGTGAGGATGCATTTCCTAGAGGTTAAAGCTTGAGGCTGGGGTGTGAGGAGACGTGGCTTGCACCCATCTGCCGCTAGCACTGTGTAACTAGTCTAGTTGCCGCCCCTCTCTGTGCCTCAGTTTCTCCATGTGTAAAAGGAGGAGAATAATGTTTTCCTAACAGAGTTAGGCGTGAGGCTTAATTAATGCTTTGAGATCCTTGGCTGTGGACAAGCCCCTCCCAGAGCAGTCAGCATCTCTTCTGTGGCTGCTGAGCCTGGCTCAGAATTTAGGGAGAGACCCAGTGCGGTGACACTGGGCAGCACAGGCTGGGAGTTAGAAATGACCCTGTGGTTCTCTCTGTTGAGCTCCCTGATGAAAGGTCTGAATAGCTGATGTCCTCTTTATGCCATGATTTAATTCTCTCTCTCTCTTTCTCTCTTTTTATCCCTTTCAAGGATTGTGGAGACAGGAACAGAGGGTTTTGGTTGGTTTGTTTCTTCACCCTCTTCTTAACAGAAAGTTATGCAAAGCCCAGAGCCTTCCTCTGGCTGCTCAGCTGGAATCCTCCAAAGGGCCGGGCAAAGGACTTTGTAAAAACCGCCCAACCTAGGAACCTCCTGTGCTTGGCCTTCTGCTGCGAGATGGATGCTGGAGCAGACCAGAGCTGCTGATGGGAAAGTGACCGAGAGGGGAGACAGAAACCATGCTGCGTCCCCTCGGAAAGGCTGCAGCCGGCCTTGACACTGCCTCTTCCTTGGCTCTCTGAGAAGCTCCCTCCCACGCTCCCTCCCTGGTAAGACTTAAAGGTGGAGCCGGGCTGTGGAGCCAGGGAGACGAAGGGGGCTCGGTGCCGCATGGCTCTCTAGGCTGCGTATCGGGGCAGGGTTTCGGCGTGTTGTTGGCGATGCCTGGGAAGAGCCAGGGATCTGTTTGCATGGAGCAGCTCTCCTTCTGCCTACTCCTGAGTGTTTGCAGTTGCTGGTGGAACCCAGCCGGCTCGGCTAAACCAAAGGGCCAGGGGCATCCACACATGAACTCCATCCGCCTCGACGGGGATATCACCCTGGGAGGCCTCTTCCCTGTGCATGGCCGGGGCACCGAGGGCAAAGCCTGCGGTGAGTTGAAGAAAGAGAAGGGCATTCACCGGCTGGAGGCCATGCTCTTTGCCCTGGATCGCATCAACAACGACCCTGACCTGCTCCCGAACATCACCCTGGGTGCTCGCATCCTGGACACCTGCTCCCGGGACACCCACGCCTTGGAGCAGTCGCTGACCTTTGTCCAGGCCTTGATCGAGAAGGACAGCACTGAGGTGCGGTGCATTAATGGTGGGCCCCCCATCATCACCAAGCCGGAGCGCGTGGTGGGGGTGATCGGTGCCTCGGGCAGCTCCGTCTCCATCATGGTGGCCAACATTCTGCGCTTGTTTAAGGTAATGTCCCATCCCCTGCCCTGCCGGGAACCCCTCCCGCCTTCCCTCCACCCCCTTTGCAGCCGGGAAAGGAGCACATGGGGTGACTGATGGTAGTGGCTAAACTAACCCACCAGCGACCGTTCAGAGCAAAGTATTGCAGGCGTTTTAACAATAATGAACGGCACTAACTGCTCCCTCCCAGGCAGGGGAAGCAAAGAAGGTGGGCGGGTGGGGAGTGCGAACTCTCTGCGGGTGTCCAGAGAATCCCCCATCTCTCCAGGGGATTCTGGTTCTGCCCTTCTCTCCCCCTCCCCCCACCCCCATGATGATACCTTTAGTTAAAGGGCTCCCGCACCCACCCCTTTGTTCTCTCCTGCATGTGTCCCTGATTTTAATGCAATTGGATGCTCTGCAGAGGGCATGGGGAGGGATTATTATAGGGCTCTTTGCAGTTGAGAGAAATATGCACGCTGCTGGTGTGGGCAGGTGGGTGAAGGGAACGGGAGCTTGGCCGTGTGAAAGGCATTCCTCACCTGCAGGAGGAGGGAGATCCGTGCCCATGCATGGGGTGAGTTCCTTCGCCTTGCGGGGGTGGCTTACCAGGTTCACGTTTCGCTGGCTGTTTTAGAGGCAGAAGGGATGACCTTGTGATGGAGACATGAGGGCTCCTGGGTTCTATTTCCAGCTCCGCCACTGATTCACTGTGTGAGCTTGGGCAAGTCCTGTCACTTCTGAATCGCAAATTCCTGGGTCGGTAAAATAGGCAATAATGACACTCAAAGGCTGGCCTACTGGTTGGGGCGCTAGCCTGGGCCTTGGGAGACAAGGGTTCAATGCCCAGCTCTCCCAGACTTCCTACATGACTTTGGCAAATCACTTAGTGTCTCTCTGCCTCGGTTCCCCATCTGTACCATGGGGTTAATAGCACTGCTGGGCATCGCAGGTGAGGATCAATACAGTAAAGATTCTGAGATGCTGATTAGCTGCGGGCCATATAAGTTAGACATTTGCCTCTTCTACCATCTGGGGCAGTGGTACTGGAATAGTTTGTATAGTGTGGGTGCTGAGAACCATGGAAGCAAACTGTAAACCCTGGATACGATGGAAACCACGTCAAGCCAGGGGGTGCTGCTGCACCCCTAGTACCAGCACCTTTGGTGTGGGATAGGGCTCCGAGCCTCTCTGTTCCAAAGCTCCTAGTGCTTGAGCTACAGGCGGGTGCCACAAGTACTCCTTTTCTTTTAGGCGAATCACAGGTGGTGGTACTGGGCCTGTGACACACAAGTGATCAGTTCTGATTTCCTCCACTAGAGGGCAGTGCCCACACACACCAGGTTGCTAATAACCTCCAGGCAGCAAAATTAACTCACTGTTTGCAGAGCAGGGTTCCCGCTCCCTGATAGAAGGTGCTATATCAGGGTAAAATATTTTATCTTGTGGTCCCATGCTGATCTGGTACTGTAGTCCCTCCCTCTCCACCCAGAATGAGTATCTGAATCCCACCCCTCCTGCCTGCTTAACAGGCTTGCAGCGTCTCCTTTCTCTGCGGCATGTGGACAATTGGCTGAGCAAGGCCCTGTGGAGTTACAGGTGGAATGTGCTAAGCGTGTTTGGTGTCCCTCTGAGTGAGCACTCCCTGGTGCCTGGTGCGGCTTCATTATTGAGACAACCGGTCTTGAGATACTTTGGGAGCCTAATCAGAGCTGGGTGTCTGGGAGGACACGCTGTCAGTGGGTGTGAGAGAGAAGGAAACTGATGAAATGGATTTGAAAGGCCAGTTTCAAAATACAAATACTGCTCTGTTGCCCTGGGGGGTGATCTCCCAAGCTGAACAGGTGGGGGATGAGGGACCCAAGGGAAAGCCTGGGCGCACCATAGGAAATGGAGTTGGGGGTTCAGCGGATGGCACTGATCAGTTCCCCATATTCTAGCAGGATTCCATGCAGTGCCAGCTCCCAGAGCAGGTCTGAAACTGAGGTCCTGACCTCTCAGGTCGTTAAAGGTTCCATGGCAAGTTTTGAAAGAGTTATGGCCAAATTCCTAATGATTTATAAATGGGGGATGACAGCACTTCCGCACCTCCCAGGGGTGCTGTGAGCATGGTGAAGCCCGGTGTTGCTAATGGAGATTCTCCTTTAGCTCAAACTGCAGGGGTGTGTGCTTGTAAAAGTGCGGTAGATCTCTGATCACCCTCACTCCCCAAAGTGACCACAGGGTGCAGCCTAGTAACAGCTGTGAATTTCCTGGGGGTGGGGTGGGGGAGTTTCGTTGCACTGTACAGTGAAGTGAGAAAAGTCGGTACCTCGTGTGGAAACCCCGCTGTCTGGCGATACCTCTATGCTGTCAGAGGACAACCTGCAAATTCCTCCCCTCACTCATATTCTACTTTCCTTGCCATGCTGCTGCTTGGTTGCATTCCTACTGCCTGGGGCGATGAACTTGGCAGCTCTCCTGAACTAGCAGGCTGGAGCCTGGTGTGCGTGTGGACGGGAGACCTCCAAGGGAAACCCAGGGTGCCGCAAGAAGGGGGCTTGATTTAGCAGGCTATGCTTTTCCTCTCAGGTCAATAATGAGCTAGTGCTCCGTGCTGCCAGAGATGCCTTCTTAGGGATGAGACATAAAATTGAGGTCCTGACCACATGAGTTCTTCTAAAATAAAACAACAAAAGCCAACAAAGCCAGGATGCTTTTCATAAAAGCAGGTCTGTTGGCACCAGTGGCTAAATTCCAACCCAGGTAACCTTTTCAGCAGCTCAGATCTCATCTGGAGACTGGTTTACTAATATGAACAAATTGCACAACAGAAATCAACCTAGGAGTCACTTGCAGGGGTCCTTTTTGCAGTGTTGTCAGTGTTCCAATGGCCAGTTGGAGCTATTCATCATGCAGCTCTTAGTCATGCATGGATTCCATGGAGGTCATTGGCAGGGTTTTTAACAAAATCCTGTTCCACTGAGTGCTTATGGTGGCTGCTCAGCAGATGGAGGGACTTGGTAAAGTCTATAACCCCTCCTAGGAGAGAACAAGCACGTCGGAAACTCTTCCAAGTGGCGAGATGCGTTCTACTGTTCCTATGATGGCATTATGGGATTGTGTCCCACTGTGATAGTTGCTGCATAGTTGGGCATGTCTACACCTACCTCTGGTCCAGTAGGGGTCGATTTATCACGTCTAGTGAAGATGCGATAAATCGACCGCCGAGTGCTCTCCAGTACTCCACCAGAGGGAGAAGCGCAGGTGGAATTAATGGGGGAGCGTCAGCAGTTGACCTACCACAGTAAGGACGCTGCGCTAAATAGATCTAAGTACGTCGACTGCAGCTATGTTAGTCACGTAGCTGAAGTTGTGTAACTTAGATCGATCCTCCCCTCCCCCAGTGTAGACCAGGCCTAAGTAAAGGACAGGACCAGCCCAGCAGAGCTTGCTGGGTAAATAAAGATGGGCTGTAAAAGATGGGTGTGGGGGAGAGAGAGCCCATGGCTACACAGACCGGCTGTATAGACTGTATTGTAATGCATGTGCAGAAGGGCACAGATTGAAGGTTGCAAGGGCAGCCTAAACACGGGCATTTCTACCGTGGGAGTGTTTGACTTTACAGCCTGTGTCATTATTGGTATGACCGAAGCCCCTCGGAGTACATCTGTACTGCAGTTGGGGGTGTAATTGCACCATGGGTCAACAGACAACGGCTAATGCTAGCCTGGCTAAGAATAGTGGTGCAGCCACAGTGGCGTGGGCTGTACAAGCCTTGCAGGGATTCTGCATGCATACCCGCTTTGCTAGCCCACACTGAAGCCCTTCCTGCTTTGTCTACATGGCTATTTTTAGCCCTGCTAGCTGGGGTATGTCTACCTGAGGCACTATTGCACCTCAGATTGCAATATAGACCTACCTGTAGAGGCCCTGTGTATAGACATTGTCCCCCAAACAGCTCACCGTCTGAACAGACAAGTTGAGCCAAGGTTGAGAGAAAGGAAGGATTATCATCCCCATTTTACAGATGGGGAACTGAGGCCCAGCGAGATGAAGTGACTTGACCAAAGTCACCTGGGCAGTCTGTGGCAGAGGTGGGATTTGAACCCAGATCTCACAAGTTTGAATGCAGAGCCCTAACCCCAAGGTGATCCTTTCTATCTAGCTAACTATGGGGACTACAAGCGGTGGGAAACAATTCTGCCAAGGCTCTGTTTGCTCTCCCGTTCTGTGGGCTGATAAGCCCTTCCCATCTTTCATGGTTGTGATGGGAGCAGTCAGATATGTTTGAGACTCCCTACACGCAGTTATCATCTATCAAAGAATGCTCTCAACTCATCTGCCTGCAAACAGATAGCACACTGAGGCATTTTAATGTATATCATCATGACACCAGTTATTGCAGATGATTGGATAATGGGCTATGGATTATATACCCAAAGCTTGAGATCATATTTCCCCTTAATTCCTGAGGAGCAGAATGATTGCCATAGCTTAAACTGTTTATCACTGGGAGATGAAGGCAGCTATCTGTTACAGAGTCATGGTAAGGACACCATTGTGAAGACCGCATCTGTACTCCAGGGGATGCACGGTGTCCTGTTGCTCCTGGGATTTGTAGCATGTGAGAGTGTTGTGAGAAATGTATGCAAAGCGTGAATAGCCACATGGTGGACTGATGCTTCTTGGCACCTCTCTGTTGCTGTTATGAGCTAAAAGCTTGTGGCTCTGAAGTCCATCCGCAGGTGCAGCATGCCTTCTGGGAGTTGGATGAGTAAGGTCAAGAATGGTATTTTGGTTCTACTTCGGTCTAGCTTTGTCCCTCTGAAGGGCCAGGTATGGATTAGCTAATCAGTTCCTATGGATCAATATCCCCTGTTGAAAATTATTTACTTTAGGTCTCTAAGTATCCTTCCTAGTTCAACCTCTTAGAGGATTATTAGTAGCTGATCTGACTACCTTCTCTCTCACCTCGTGTGTGTTATCTTATTGCCAGGCTTAGTATTTTACTCCTGGGGGAATTCTGCGCCAAAAAAATAAACAAT